AATGACAAACAGTCATTTACTTCTTCAGAATATTGAAAGCTTGGAAATTCACAGCTTTGTAGCTGGGGTGTTGATCTCTTGTGACTTTATACAATCTCAGTCATTGAAGGTGAAGTCCCAGTAATGATTTCCTTCCCAGGTGGAAGCTTTCTGAGTCCACACTGCTTCAGAGAACAGCGGTCACCACACAGAAAGTGCATCCAGGGGCAAGGAAATGGAGCCAGCACCAAGGAGTGAATTTTGAGGTTATGATGGAAAGCAATTTGGTTAGATGGCTCCACAGAACAGAGATACAGGCAAAGGAGCAACATCAGTTAAGCTAAGCTTCCCCCATCTTCTGTAACAGGTGAATAAACAGCCCACGTCTCCCTGAGTCCTGCCAATGTCATCTTATTGAGTAGGGTCCAAAAATCTCAATGCTTAATGCAAATAGTGCTGTAAAGAAGAATGTTGTTGCTAGTAGATATGCAATGCTGGCTTGTTTCATTCATCATTCCACAAATAATGCATAGTTACTGCACTATTCTGGGCACCAAGGATACATGACTAAACCAAACAAGATTTAAGACAACTTTCCTTCACGGGCCTTCGGTACAGTGGAGAGACGAAACAACAAAATTAGCATATTCTATAGTTGAGCAGAGTGGGATTCCTGCCAAGGAGGATAAAAAAGCAGGCAGGAAGGATAGAGAGGTAGAACTGGGAGGGTAGGGAGAGCTTATGGAGATAAGTGTCCAGTATATCCTAAAGGAAGAGAGAGAGAGAGAAAAAAAATGTGGAAGGAAGGGTATTTCAGAAAGAGGACGGCCATGTGTGAAAAGGAATCCAGTATGTTAAAACTATACTTTCAGGGATCATTTCTATAATTCGTTACCAGTATGTTAAGCAAAGAGGAGAGGAAGGCAAAGAGTAGCAGGAGTCAGCCATAGTATATCCAGAGCCACAGCCATGGCTTTCATAGTGTGCAGAGCAGGTGATGCTCTGGAGACTGTGGTAAGGACTTGGCCTTTGATGCTCAACCAAACAGAAAGGAGGACATGCTTTCCAAACAGAACAAGAGTACCAGTAATTGCGAGAGAAAAGAAGTTGCATAATCCTTGCCCATGGTCCTTGACTTTGGTGATCAGAAAGCAAAATCACCTCACAGCTCTGGCTTTCCTGCATTTGAAAATGAACTTCCATGCCCACTACCATTATCTACCATTATGGAGTCCATTGCCACTTTCTCATCCCTTATTTGGTTTTGTTTTGAGATGTGTGCAGAACCTAGTGGGATATTTTCAGTCCTGGCTTTTCTATAGCTAGACACCCCTTAATCTTTCTCAGATTCCTGAAAAAAATCTCCTCCATGAAGACTGAAATAGAAAAAGGTGCAAATTGTTTTCAGTGTGCCAATTGCAGAGTAATATGTCCTACAAGCATTACATATCATGGAAAGGCTAGGGTAGTATTAATACTGAATCTGTGAAGCATAAGGATCCTTCTGTTTAATGCTGTTCTTTATTTTTCTCATCTTCATGTCTTACATGCAACCGCGTTTATTTTCATTCTGTGCCATAGCTGTGATCATAATTAATTGTGCTGGTATGAGGACCATGCCTTCTAAGGAAAGACACGAACTGTATCTGTCTGTCTTACTTGGGAAAACGCAAGACACATGCCATTAGTCCAACTGCAGTAAGTCCAGGTGTGGGTGCTTCTTATCACCCCACAAAGGCCTGGTAAGTGCCGTGCCAACTGCAGAGAATATCCCTCCACCACTAGGGGTTTCTGCCAATGGTCCCCCGAAAGTTTTCCACACTGAGGTCTGGCTAAGGCTTTCTCCACTCTTAACTTCAGCAGCACTGAAAATCTAACATATATGAACACAATATGTACAGATACGGATGTGCCTGTGTGAAAGTATGGGGCCACTTGCTTCCAAGCTCAGCTCCCTCTTCTATAGTTCCTCATTTTTCTCCACCTGGAACTTGGAAATATTTTCCTGTATCCTCCAGTCTTTCTCCAGTATTTATCTCCAATTTCTCTCACAGGAGGCCACCTTTATTAAAAGCTCACTGGTGACTGCTGTCTTGAAACACTCTTCTGGAAGCCTTTAAGCAACACAACTTCCTAGGTTTCCTTCTCTCCATATTCTGTTACTAGAATCTTCTTCCTCAATCCCCAGAGCCACTCATAATGTTCTTCAGGGGTTAGCCTTGACCAGCCGTTTTCTTGGTACATTCTCCCTGCAAGTGAGAATGGGATCACCCATTTCCGTTCTAAGTACTTTCTGCACCCTGGCAACACTTAAACTTAAGTCTTTCATCTAGATCTCTTCTTTGAATTATAGATTCATATAGCCACCATCTCCATAACACCTGTACTTGGATATCTCAGAGCATCTCAGAACTGACACACCCCCAAATGGAACATTTGATTTCTAGAAATAAGTGCCTTGCTCTAAATTGTAATCCTCAGCCCCCCTTTGCCTGTCTACCTCAGTGAATTCTGCTGCCAATTATTTGTCGAAGCTACCTGCAAAATGTTTTGGATCTCCTTTCAGAATTTTTTTTGAATTCTATCCATCTTCAAGGCAGAAGTATTGTTTTCAATCAGACATTTATTAAAGAAGTAAATCTACCAGATACCTTAAAATTTTCAAAAGCTTGCTGCAATTAAAATCCACTCTAAAACACTTAAAAGATTTTTTTTAGCTCCAATATCAACTATATCCTGTGATCTCTCTAGATCCAATTAAACATTTTAATGAATGTGTGTTTCTTGCTGTCTATCCCTCTAGCTGTGTGAGCTTGCTTTCCCTTCTTCTGCAGAGCCCTCCTCCAGGGTCTTGTGTGTACCTCCTCTGCTGCTTGGGATGCTATTCCAGAGTTCTCAGCAACTCAGCCACTGGGAGTAGACCCTTCTTAAAAACTCAAAGCCTATCCCCACTTTCATTGTCAGTAATCATGCAGATAGAGCACTCATATACATAAAATAAATAAAAAAGTCTTAAAAAATAACATTAAATCTCTGTTGAAATCATTCCTAGTTTGTCTACTTCCTGGATGCTCACAGACTCAACTGACTCTACCAGTTTGGTTTAGGATGCTTAGTGGGTGACATAATCCCCAAATGCTTAACCCTTGACCTTCCTTCGAGAATGAGTTGAGAATGAGTTGCTATCTTGGCTTGCACATCCCACCTTGAGCCTATGCCTTTCTCACCCCGGGTCAAAGCCAGTCCTTTGCCATACTCCTGCCTGTTGCTCTCTGGTACAGTCCTCCTGAACTGTATTGATTTTATCCCAGTATTTCTCTCATCTATGACATCTAGGTGATCCAGTTATCATCACTTTTCCAGGCTTGCTTTTTAAAATCAACAAATGCTTGTGTGTGTGTGTGTGTGTGTGTGTTTCTATGTACAGAAAGTTTTATGCTGACTGCTTCTGCCAGAGATAGATGAGAACTTACTCCTTGGACTGCCCTCATAGTGTATTCATTACTGTAATAAAGTTGTGTTATGTATGTATAAAAGATGCGGAGGAAATATTAACAGAATCTCTACTGGACAGTGTTCCTTTTCTAGTTGGGTGAATACTTTAGTTAGTAATATGTGAATGGGACCACCTTAAGTGTTTATAAGTGTGTGTGTGTGTGTGTGTGTTTGTTTGTGTAAGTAGCCTTCTGAAACCCACTAGCCCCTGTTAACTACAGGGCTCTGATTTCTCGGCAGTCACCTGTGTAAGTTCATGCTGGAGTTGGCTTGAATGTGAGGAGAGAGTAGTGTCAGGAGGAATGAATCTGTTCTGGCTGCCTCAGAGCTAGCTGCCAAGGGCAACTTCAAAGAGAAAGAAATTGTTCACCAGGGACTTTCATTAGATTTTTTGGCTGGTATGAGCTATAATCTCCCAGAAATCATCAATTGAACATAATAGAATGCTGAACTGATCTGTAAGTTTAGAATGGTGTAAAATCAGAGACTTCCTATGGAAAGATAGTTATACATGAATTATGTAAAGCGATTTCATTTTCTCATCTTTTTTTTTTCTTCAAAAATTATATTATAGGCACCTTGTGGCACTGACCAGATTTTGCATCCTTTTCATTAACCCAGTTATGAAGTAGAATGTGTTTATCAAAACACTAGCATTAGTCTACACAAAGCACCGACATTCTTGAATGTCCTGAATATGGTTATTCAATGGGTGCCATTATCACTTTTATGATGAAAAGTCTTTATTTTTCTGATTATGAATAAATAAACACACACTGGTGAACATTTAGAAGTATTGATAAGCAGGCCAGGCAGTGGTGGCACACACCTTTAATCCCAGCACTTGGGAGACAGAGGCAGGCAGATCTCAGTGAGTTCGAGGCCAGCCTGGTCTATAAAGCAAGTTCTAGGAAAGTCAGGACTGTTACACAGAGAAACCCTGTCTTGAAAAACCAAAAAAAAAAAAAAAAAAAAAAAAAAAAAAAAAAGAAAGAAAAAAAAAGAAAAAGAAAAGAAAAGAAATATTGATATCTTATCATAAGCAAAAATAAGATCATCCATAGTTTCAATCCACAGATAACCACAACTAACAAAGTATCCCCACCCATCTGTTATGTATAAATATAGTCTCTATACTGGTGTAATTGTGAGAAAGAGTATATATCTAACTAAGAAAATCCATCAATATATTATGGGCATATTTTCTGTGCTTATAGTCAAATAGGTTCATGATATTTGTAAAATCTTACTGCTGTTTTCATTTAACATTTTGATACAAACATTTATCCTTCTGATTACATCTTCAAAATTATAATGTAAAGATTATATTCATTCATATAGACTACTGTAATGTACACAATGAATTCCATATTATTAGGTAATTATGGTATTTCTCCATTATTTGCTGTCATGTATAATAATACTACAGGAGTATTACTGCATGTATGGCATAGCTACATTTAGGCAGAACATCTTTTGACATGTTGAAAAGCACTTTGTCTTTGGAGGGAGAATTTTATACTTACCTGAAATGAAGCTCATGAGATATAGCCCTAGTGGGCCATGTAGAGCTTCAAAGGGCTTGCCAAAAGCATTGTACATGAAGAAGGCTGTCCCCACCATGGTTAAGACGACAAGAATCATGGAGAATAGGATGGTATTGACATGGATGCTTACAGGGATGGCTTGGAGCAAATCTGGGAAGACTGAGGATAAACCAAGGATTAGAAGAATTTTATGATCAATATTCTGCAGGTGTAACTTAAAATTTAAATTCCCATTTTTTTACATGCTCTCAAAAATTACTAAAAAAACATTTTGATGAATACATTTTTTCCTCACTTACCAATTTACAAGGGGTTTACACAAAGATTTAAAGATGGGATCATTTCATAGGATTCACTTGGGGAGTGGGAGATTCCTTGGTCCTTGATTATACTCAGGTGCTAGGTTAATAACTCAAAAACTGTACACATTGATGATCTAAGCTTCAATGACAGTTCTCAATAATCACTTTTTAAAAAGATGGTGTATACCTTTAGTCCCAGTACTCAGGAGACAGAGGTAGGTGGATCTCTGTGAGGCCAGCCTGGTCTACAGTGTGAGTTCCGGGACAGTCAGAGCTGTTACACAGAGAAATCTTGCATTGAAAAACAAACAAACAGAAAGTCTATAATAATATTTAAAATTTGAATGCACGTAGGAGAATTCAAACATCAGGAGGGTTTTATACCACTTTTGTTTGTTAAAATATAAAACTTGGTTTCTAGGCCATAACAATAGTAGAGAATTGGGAATTTTCAATCAGCTTCAATATTTTGATGTAGCACAAAGCTGTGGGAAAATTATTTCTGGTATTATAAGAAATGTTTTTCCATTTAGTAAACATGATGAATCTATTTCCAGATTTTGTATTCATGGCAAGTTATTCTTGTCTGCTCAGGAGATGAAAAATCCTTATGATATCAGCTACCAGGGTTGTGTCAGCACACTTTGCCTTCAACAAATCTGGACAACAAAGGGAAGTGCACTTCAACAAATTTTAGTTTCCCAAGCATCTAGCCAATGCCTAACTTACTTATTGAGTACCTACTATGTGTTAGTCTGTGCTCTGGAAGCTGGAGGTAGAGCCATAAAACAAGACAAAGACCCAGATGTCTTCCACAGAGCTTGGAACCTGATGAGAGTGTACAGGCAACTGGAAAGTAAGCTAGAAAATTCCATTGCTTATTTTCAAAGGTGTTTACTATGGTAGAGTTATTTTCTTAGTGCTCTTCAGGAGTAACTACATCATGTAGCTTAGTTGTCCTTTATTGTCCCATGATAAAACTGCATTTGCTACATCCAAAGCATTCAGCACTGACCCATGTAATCAGGGAATAGGGAAAGGGAGCCCCTTGTGCACTTCTCTTGGGAGTAAAACGTAGAAAAACCTCTTTGAGACTGGACAATATCTATAAAGCACTGAAATAGCCACACCCTTTAGCTCAGCAGTTTTCCTTATTTACAGGAGCCTCTCTTAGGCATATTCACACATGAGTCTGGTGAAGTATTAGAAGTGTAGTCATTACTGAATCTTTCGTGATAGCAAAAGTTTTGGAAGAGCTTGTATGTCTAACAATAGTGCATCCAATCCCATACAATGGAATTGTACAGAGATCAGAGCAATTCTATAGGAACAGATGTGGAATTATCATCAAAATGTGATGTTAGATGGAAGGAAACAAATCACATAGAGAGAAAAGTGCATTGTCCTGCCACTGGGGGAGGAAGGGAGGCAGAGGGATGTGTTTATCATGAATGTTTAAGTACTCTGCTCTCCTGACTGAATTCTCTAGACAGCTACGATAAGTATATTATTATAAACTGAGGCACAAGGGGCTGGGGAGACACCTCAGTGAGTAAGAGCACCTTCTCTGAAAGCATGAGGGCTTGAGTTCAAGTCCCAGCACTCATGTAAAGAGCAGGACATAGATGCACGTACAGAGTTGGGTGGACCCCAGGAGCTCACTGGCCAGCTGGTCCAGTAAAAATGGTGAGCTTCTCCCAGAGAGGGAGACCCTATATTTTCTTTCTTTCCTACATTTATTCCAATAAAGTCTCACTATGTATCCCTGGCTTGTCTGGAACTGGGCCTGGAGTCCACTCTGTAGATCAGGTTGCCCTCATACTCAGAGAGATTCACCTGCCTCTGCCTCTAGGGTGCTAGGATTAAAGGCCTGTCCCACCATGCCAGGAGAGACCCTGCCTTAAAGCAATGCTGTGGAAGTGGAGATGAAGGCAGTCAGCATCTTCCTCAGGGTTCAATATCAGCTCAGATACTTTTACACACACACACACACACACACACACACACACACACACACACACACACACACACACGGCACTGAGTCTATGTACTAATACCCAAGATTTATAATTAGTGTAATGTCAATGTGTGTGTTAAGTTCATAGCTGGTCAGTTCAAACTGAACTCATGTCAGCATTACAGTGGCCCACTCTGCCTTACCTCCATGGGGAATGGAAGTCTCAGACTTCTAAGGGAAATGCTGGTCTTCTGCTACAATAACCTGCCCTCTGGGGGTTCTAATTGTGGAGACAACTCAAGAAACCCATCCTGCTATTCCCACACTTGCTTTGGCCAGTTACTCACTTGCTTTTTTACCAGCAGTTATTAAAAGCTAGCTCCCATCTGCCTCATTGTGTGTATAGGGTAGGTGTGTTAATCCTCTTCAAAAATACAAGGTAACAACTGGGCCAGGGAACCAGAACAAGAGCCATGACAGATTTTTAATGGCCCCTGTCAGGGATCAGGCCTTAGTTTCAGTTTACTGGAGGTGGCTGGAGCTGAGTTCTCAGGTAGGACCATAACTCAGGGGCAACCGATCAACAGGCATCCCCTTGACCTTCTGCTGGCTTAGAAGATGATCACAGACTCCTGATAACAACACATAGTTTTCCTTACCCTGCCACTAGGCATTCGACCAATCATCCCACAGACCAACCTTTCCTCCACCTATCAGCCCCAGATTAATCCGTCCTCTCTGGAATTCCCCTAACTACAATTAAAAGCAGCTTTAGATCTTCTTTGGGTAGTTGCCATGTATCACCCCAACAAGTTAGAATAAAGCATTGCTGCTCATTGCATATCTGAGTGTTGGTCTTTGGGGTGGAGTGGTGTGGGATGGGGAGGCTTTTCTCAGACCCTAAAAACAACACAGAGAGAAGTTGCACTGAAAATACACTACCATGAGAGGCATTTTGATTCTTAGGAAGGATTTTAAGATTGCCAGCCTGTGAGAAAATGGAATGAAATGAGAACATGACCCCTCCAAGGTGTGGTTGAGGAGAAGGTTTCTATTCTAGATATGAGGGAGACTGCAGCCAGACAACTGTGAGAGTCCAGAGCATGGAGAGAAAGTAACAGACTGAACATGACCAGTAGACTAAACTGGGCCATGAGAGGAGGGGCCTGGGGAGAGAGAGAGAGAGGAAGAGAGATGGCAAGAGAGGACAAAGAGAGCCAAGGTAACTAAGAGAGTGCATGGCATACTTGGCTGGGTTATATAGGAATCAGAAACTGGAGGAAGGGAAGGGAAGCCCATAGGTTGGGGAGGTATGGGGTAGGGGATGCGGTTAGAAGAGCTCAGAGGAGCCACTGTTACTGAGTAAGCCTGGAGGCCGAGCACACACTGGTATGAGAATAGACACCACAGTGAGCCCTTTGAGTTTCTTTGGGGTCTGTCAAAAACCACCCAGCAGGGTGCACAGGTGAAGTGCCTGCACTACAATCTGTTCCACTAATCCGGTGAAGGCCTAGAGCAGGTCATTTGTTCAACAGGAACACCGAATGCCGAATGCCAAATGGTGTTTATTGAGGGGAAGGAATGGGCTTATATACTGACTAACAGAACAGTAGAAAACAATCAAGGGGTCAAGCGTGCAAGTTCTCAGCAGATACCTGTTAGCAAATCAAGAAGAGTACCAAGAACTACCCTGGTGCAAGATGTTTCAGCTAATAGCTTCGGGCTTGCTCAAGGTGCTTTAGGGGTCCATGCAGGGCCCTACACACAAGCTTACATGTTATGAGGTTTCCTATGTTTTGATAATAATAGCCCATCCTCCAAGCACCCTCTTCATGATTGCCAAACGTTTCCACAGAGTAATTTATGAGTGCTAGGAATAAAAGCCAACAATCACATCGCATTTGCTATGCAGATAGTGCATACACTTTACTTTTTAAAAAAGTTTTTGTGTTTTATTTATTTAGTGTGTAAACCAGGATATGGTTTTTTGAAAGTTGGCTCTAGTTGCCTGTTTTAACACATAACTCCCATTCACTTGTTAACAGCTAAGTGAGGTTTTTGGAGGGTATCTTGTTGGGTTAAGGATAGTTCCTCCTCTGCAGATCTAAATATTTGAGTATTTTACTGTATGGTAAGACTAACCCTGAAAGAACAGAAGACCACAGGAGACACTTCCTAGTTGCACACTATTTCAGCCATGGACAAGTCATATTAATACTGGTTAGAAAATGGGTTTTTCATTAGCATTGGCTCTTCCACAATGCACAGGCACTGATTTTAGGTCCTTAGTCTTGGTACCAAGTTCCTTTAACCACAAAACCTGGCCCAGGATACCCAATTCTTACAAAAATAGGAGGGAAATAGTATTTTATCATAAGTGTGTGGAGTAAAATTACTGAGGCACAGAGGATTAATTTACCTAAACTCACAGGGACATTGCTGCCTTTGTGGTCACTCTCCACATCCTTTAAGAAAACATTAAAGTTAACATGGGAAAGATGTATCCCTTTGTGATTCTGCAAGTTTTTAAAAATTTACATTATTATTGTTGTTGTTGTGGTGGTGGTGGTGTATATGCCTCTGAATGTGTATGGAGGTCAGAGGACAACTTTTTTGAGTTGATCTCTCCTGTGGGTTTTGGAATCAAGCTCAGATCTCCAGGTTTATGCAGCAGGTTCCTTTACCCACTGAGCTATCTTGCAAAACCTCTGCAAGATTCAACACATGTATTCAATTTATAAAACTGTTACCACATTTAAGATGTAGGATATTCTACCCATCCCAAACCCTACTCCAGCTTCTCAGCTTCTGCAGGTAAGACTCCAGAAAAAAGCCAAGTGCTCTCTGAAACGTATGTGCCATCTGCCTTCCCACCAGGAATGCAAGGGCCCCAGTTATCC